GCGCTTTCCAACAACTCAGCTGAACAGAATTTCCAACTGCTTATTTCGATGGCCAGCCGGAGCATACTGAATGCTGTTGGTGGTGTGTGATAAATAACAATAATTTGCATTTGTTGTCTTTGGCTGCAGTGGCCAGTCCGTCCGTCCGGCGCATAACTTCATCTCATGTTGGGCGCATATTTTTGTGTCCACAAATTGTTGCCGTAGGCTGATGCATGCAGCAAGACAGCAAACCCGCAAACCTGCAAACCTGCAAACCCTTTCCCTGGTAGCTCAGGCCAGTGCAGCCCCAGGTCTACGGCTCATTCAGTTGGCTGTTTCTTTGTGGTCATTTGTAAGCCACTCCACTGTCCGGCTGCTCGGCATACTTTCTCGGTCTTTGTTGTCGCTTTTGATAAAGTTTGCCTTATGTCGTAGCTGTTGTTGTTGTTGTTGCTTTTGCTGTTGTTTTTTAATGCAGCTGCCGAAAGTTTCGTTGGGCTTGTTGCAAATTGTTTGTCAGTCGTCGTCAGTGGCTGTAATGGAAGGCCCGCAGCGTTTTTTATGTGGCAGACGTGACAGGAAGTCGCCAGCAGTAGCGCACTGAGCTCTGTAGCTCTGCTGTCAGCAGCAGCAAAAAATTCTGATCGTATATTACATGAGAAGTAACTTTCGCTTGAAATAACATGCACACATATACACACATGTATATTAAGATCATAATCTACATATATATGATATATGACTACTGTGCTATATATCCGAATATAACTTTATAGTTAATCCATTTAGTTTGGCTTTGGCTCGTTAGTCGTTGCCTGCGTGTCGTCAAAGCATTTGCCATATCTTTATCGTCTGCTTTCTCATTAGCATGACGCACTCAGTGTGCCCAGTGGACGTGTGTGTGTGTCGTGTGTCGGAGGATGGTGTCAAGGACAACAAAGTGAACTTTGCTATTGTGGGCCAGCCGACAGCTGTCGACTGTCGACTGTCGACTTTACCAGCCGCCACTTGAAGCCAAGTCACACCCACACTCACACATCCACGTCACAGTGACTTTGTCAAAGGCAGTGGTAATTTTTTAACGGCTAAAAAAGCTATACCCATGGAAATTGTTTAAAGGGAGTGGGGCTGACCATATTCGACGGTTTCCAGATGGCAACCTAGAAGAAAAACATCGTTATTTGAATGTTGACAATAATAATCATTTTATTTGGTTCAAGTAGTGATGTCTCTCCTTGTCTCTCTCTCTTTCTCTCTCTCTCTCTCTCTCCTTCTCTTTCGCCCTCCATCTCCTTCTCTCTCTCTCTCTCCCTCTCTTTCTCTCTCTCCCTCTCTTTCTCTCCCTCTTTCTCACTCTCTCTCTCTTTCTCACTATCTCTCTCTCTTTCTTACGGTTTATATAGCCAGTCTCTGTCTAAAGATATAGGGTTTCCAGATAGGTCCATCGAATACGGACAGCCCTATATCTAGTTACTTAGAAGCAGAGTTAATCCTTTAGCTGGTTGAATCAACAGTCTAGTCGATATAGCTCTTTAGGTATGTCTCTGTCTATCTCTATTTATGTATTTTATAATACTTTATACTATGACTAGCCTAGGGTATCTTTTAGTCAGGCACTCCCAGCTGCTCGCTTTAGTTTTAGTTAGTTTTAGTTGTTTTCCCTTGGCTGATTCTTGAGCTGGATCAACAGTTTTGTCGATCTACCCTTTCTATGTCTAGATATTTATCTAGCTATTCGTTTGTCACTTTTTATTTATATAATCTATATTTTTATGGTCAGGATATATTTTAGTCAGATACTCCCGGCTGACGCTCTCTTTGTTGCTCTCCACTTATCTAACTCTTGAGCTGGATCAACAGCCCAGTCGATCTACCTCTCTATGTGTAGACGTTCATCAAGCTATTCGCTTGCTCCTCTGTTTCTCACATTGAGCTATGTCTGCCTAGAGCGTTGGGTATTATTTATTTTATTCAGGTATTTCCAGTTGATACTACTTCTGTAGGTCATCTAGCTATTCTTCTGCCTCTCTCTATTCACGCACTAATCTATAACATTTTGAACTCAGTCAGCTGTGGGTATCTCTTGGTCAGGCACTCCCCGTTGGCATTCTCTTTGTTGTTCTCCACTTAATTTCTTTTTGCGCTGCCAACTTCCCGCTTGCCATTGCCTCAGTTCTCGACGTAAATTACAAACTGTTGCATTCCGTGCATCCCCCTCATTCAAAGCATTTTCCCGTTCTCTATTTTCCACATCTCTCAAACTGCTGGCGGAATTCCTCTTCTTTGTATTGCAATTTATGCATACTCTGCCAGCATTTAAAGGCGCTGCCACGGAGTTTCGGATCTTAGTGTTAGCGCTCTGGTTCTATATCCTAACTTAGCTCAAATGAATTTATCATTTCTTCATTTCTTCGATTCAGCTGAGCTTCGACGCTCAACACATTTCCCGCACAAATAAAAGTTTTTCTTTAAAACGATTTTCCAGTCGCGTTAGCTCAAATCTGTGTCAGAGCGCTGCCAAGAACTGGGCAGAGAGTAAATCAGAGTTGAGCGACTCAACTTGTTTAAGTATGTGTGTGTGTGTGTATGTGTGTGTGTGTGTTGTTCCTTGTTTCTGCATTTTCTCGTTTTAATATTTGTGCTGCATTGCCTTTTGTCGTGGCTCGTGTTCGTGCTGCGCTTGTTGTTGGCCAGGCTCTTCACATACACATACACATGTACATACGGGAAAATCTCGTTTTGTCAGTGATTCGCCCGCGGATGGAGGCGTGGCCGGCATTGAGGGCGTTTGCCGGACCGGCGCCTAGCTGCAATATTAAAAATGATATGAAATCAACAGACCAGCGAGATACACACACACACACATAGACACACACGAAAGTTACTAAAAGAGTTACTGGACCATGGCAGCATCAGTGGGAAATGACGGCTTATAGAGCACAGCAGCAGCAACTGCAACAACAACAACAACAACAACAACAACAACAACAACAACAACAACAACAACAACAACAACAACAACAACAACAACAGCAACAACAACAGCAGCAGCAGCGTAACATACAGCGATAGGTGCATAAAGCTGATTTTGTGTATGTGTTTGAGTGTGCGTGCGTGTGTGTGTATTTGTTTCATTTCATGGACACAAATCTTTTAATAGCATATACTGCCGGTAATGGCTTACAGAAGAAGCAAATCAAATGCCCAACTATGATATACCCTAACCCCAGAACATTGCTTAATGTTCAGCTGGAAACGTTTTGTGAAATATATATGAGTAAATAACTTAAATACCATACAAAATATTTAAAAAATATTAAAATGATGGAGTAGTGTCTCAGTTTTTTCGTTCTCTCATAATGAATAGAGAAATTCGCATATGAGCTATGGAATTATTGGCTCACAGCACAAGCAAGTCAAATGATCTACGACTGCAAAATAGCTCAAATTTAGATGTTATCAGAGATTAAAAAGAGATGCAAAGTTTTGTAAATGTTACGCCTGATAAAATATTTTGAATGTTAGACAAACGTATTTAAAAAATACTAAGCCGAGTGCATTTCATGTGTACATATGTAACATAACTATTTCGTTCTCTCATTGGTGTCTGCATCGAGAATCCGACATGTTTTGCAGCACAGCAATGGCATTGACTCACATCGAACCCAATATGTTCATCAGTTGAATCGATAATCCCGCCCAAAAAACCTGGGCTTTATGCGAATTGTCATTTTTTTGTTTTTGCCTGTCAAAATATGTTGAGCGGCAACATTTTTATTTTATTTCATATTTTTTTAAATTTTTTATGCTGCTATGATAGCTGAGCAAGGCTCAATTATA